TACAAATATCAAAAAAATACGTAAAAATAAAAAATGTTAATTCAAAGCTTCAACGCCCTACCATGGAAATAAAGTTTCCAATTCTCAAGTACCACTTTACAACATCTGACCCACTTCGAGGCAGTGTGGAAGAGCAAGGCACTCTGAAGGCGCAGTCCCAGATCTGACTGTAGCTACAGCGCCAACACCCAAGGCACCCTCCACCCCAGCTGCAGTCAGGAGAGTCCAAGAGGCCACCAGATTGCACAGCATCCCCGTAGAAGCCCCACAGCAAAAGGCTCTCCTACTTTTTTAGCTTAATTGTTTTATTACTATCAAAAGCCTGAGTAAAAGCCTGCTGGCCACACCCTAAGACAATAGCCCTAAAGGACAACTGACATGGTTTCAGGTCAGGACATCAGAGGCTGCCACTTATCATCCACACAAAGATAAGTACACGTGTTTCTGATGATAATGCAAATTACCATCATGTTTTGATCAACTCACATATAAACAACTACTTAAGAAAGTTTTCTTCAAATTTATCACTTAAAGGGAAAGAAAGCATATGTTCGTACACCAAAGTGGGCCTTATGAGCACTCTGACCTTATTTTCACTTCAAAGACGCAGATGCAGGCCCCACTGTCCTGCTCCATTTCCAGGGCAGTGGCAGAAAGAGCTTGGAACCACGCTGACCCAACAGGACCCCTGGGAAGGCTGTGCGGGTGTTTAGGGGGCAACTGCCCTCAGAGGAGCAAGGGCTGCTCCCAGCACCCCAGCCTCCCTTAAGCTCACCAACCACCACATAAAGCCAGGAGCCCACCTTCCTAAACAGCTTCCTTCCACAGCAACCAATAAACTGGGCGGCACCAACATGTGGATCTGGAAGGTCACTGCCTTCTCAAGCTCAGATCCTTCACCACCACAGCAGAGCAGGGATGCAGTAAGCAGGCAGGACAGGTGCTCCGCCCCATGAGTGTCCCGGCCCTCTCCTGGACACCTGAAGTGTGAGGCTCACTGGCTCCCAGAGGCATGAGCTGTCCATCCAACCTCATCACCAAGGAGCCCGCTCACCCTCAAAGGACCTCCTCCAATGCCAGAGGTGCAGTCAGGAAACAGAGAAGTGACTCTACAGAGGTGCTCTAGAAGTGCTCTACAGAGGTGCAGTCAGGTCACACAGGAGTGACCAAGCAGAGTAGCCCGGTCTGCCCTTTCTAGCTCCCCAAAAGTTATTTTTCCTGGTTGTCTTCAGATGTCACTGTAACTTGACTGTATTAAGAAGAGAAATGGGGTAAGGAAAGCCTCTGTCCTAAAGCAAGCCCTCACCTGGGCAGGCAGCCCACCTATGATAACTTCAACAATGTTCTCAGACCCTGCACCAAGCTCCTCAGCGACCTGGAGAGAGATATTACTTGAATAATGCCCTCTTAAAAGAGTTTGCTACTTCCACAGTACCATCATGCTTGAAACTGAAAATGTAAGAAACTGGACAAGTGAAGGAACAATAAAGGCTACTGAATCTGTTTGCATGCCTCACGCTGACAGAACTCCACATTCTTCACAAAGGAGTCAACCCCAACGTTACAGCCAGAAAACTAAAGCTCTGTGAACAATGCAGCCAGTCCCCAATCTAAGGGCAACTGTGTTCTCAAATAACAAAATGTAAAAGTCTAAGAACATCCCTTGTGCCAAAGAATCTGCTGCCAAGGAGGGCCCCTAGAATCCCAGTTCCTGTCACTTCAGAAGTGGCCCAGCCTGGGGACTAAGGCTCATGAACTCAACCTGGCCAAACAGGTGCATCAGCCACTCACAGACTTACCTTCCCTTTCCCCACCAAGACTTAATGCCCTCCACCACAGATGCGAACCCGCGCCGGACACTGTCCTTACCCGCAGCATAACCTCATAAGCGCCACCTTAAAAGCAGCACACGGTATGCCCGGGGCCAAGGCATCTAGACCCAAGGGAAGAGCACGGCTTTCTATCCTGGAACGGCGACCAAGGCTTTGGCCAAGTCCTACAGCAACAAGAGAGCAAATTCTGAATGATGGCAGGATAAAAAGAGGCACATTAAAGAAAATGCTAATTTGCACACCAAAAAATGACCTGTTTAGAAATGAGGATCTTCAACATAGCACCTATTCAAAAAGATCTTTCTGAACCATGTGCATACACGCTAATCTGAGTGTAGTAGCACTTTCTGCTTCTTCCACAGGTGACCCCCACAGGACTCTGCCGTTCTGAGCACCCTAAGGTGCACGCAGCCAAGCCCTGATTTTCAGTGTTCTGGAGACCACCACAGTGGTTGTGACAGCATTTCTAAAGATTTTTTATCTTCTTTTCTCATTGTCCTCACAGTGGATAAAACTTAGACCCTGGCACCTTCAAACAAGCAAATTACAACTGCAATAACATAAATGTCTCTTTGCAAAACTGTTCCGACAAATATCAAGACTGAGTTTGCTAAAACCAAATTCGACGTATTTATTAAAAGCTCACTGTGAGCTGGCCATAATGGTGCACGCCTGTAAGCCCAGCAGTCTGGGAGAGTGAGGCAGAAAAATCGCAAGGTCGAGAACAGCTTGGATAATTTAGCCAACCCCAAGCAAAAAAACGGTCACCCTGTGTTCAATGCCCAATGTGGGGGGAGGGGTGGGGACTCGCAATAAACCAAGGGGGAAAAACTTACTCAAGGCTGAGATTTGACCTCCAGGACCTCAGCAGCCACCTCCCCTGTCCCACTGTGACCTCCACTGGAGGAGGGCCCTGGGAGGGGCACAGCACCCTTTCACACTCAACTGCCAACAACCTGCTACTCCACTTGACGCCTACTTCAAGCTTTGAAACCCTGCCCTCCCCCAAGGATCCCTCCAGCAGCCTCAATTTGTACCACTAAGTTGTAACAAGGAGTCATTAGCCAAGCAAGTTTTGTTAAGTTACTTCTACTTTCCTTCTGTACATCTTTTATCAATGAAGAAGAAACATCAACTTGCAGAATTTAACATTCTCTGATCAATTATACAATATAGTTGCAATATTCATAACCTATTACTGTCCCATCATTGGTGATTTTATCTATTCCTGTTTAGCTTTGGCTGTTATTAAAATAATCAGCATATCTAATCGGACCCTCTAAGACAAGTATGAAGATGGATATAAACCTTTTTATTTTCTAGAAATCATGTGGCCACTTTAAAGCACTGCTCTCAGCATCTGCCACCCAAATGTGAACAGAAGCCAGTCTCTGCTCTCACCTGCACCGGACTGCGGAGATGCAGGTCTACTGAAATCATCAACCCTTCACTTTTTTCAGGGAGCTGACTCCTGGCCGAGCACAGCCAACCCTAAGCCTGACCTTAAAGCATACCGCAGCCGTGAGTCTCAGGACAGCTCACAACAGAGACAGCACAGGTGCCCTTTTCAAATCACATCTTCCTTCTCCCAGGGAGGAAGAGAGATGAGCTTTACCTATAAGATGCTTAGAGCAAAGGAACCGGGCCAACCCCAGATCACCACAGTCAGATCACTCCTGAGAGGATCCACACCAGCCTCCGTGAGGAAAGGACAGCCTGGGGATGTTCTTGCCATGGGAGAGGCATTGCTAACACAAGCAAGACCCCTGGAAGGGTGTTTTATAAGTAGATGCAAACTATCTAGCATCCCACATAATAGGCTACAAATATGATCGCCTTTTTAAAAATAACTAAACAGCAATCCTAATTTCCACCCAAAGGTCAAAATACACATAATGAGCAAAACACAACCTTCAAACACCCTTGCAAGTTTTTCAGCACTCCCCAGATGTGTGGCTAGGGGTACAGCAGCAGCTCCTAGGGTGCTTCTTTCCCATCCCCTCTCCTCCTCAGAGCACAGCAGCCCCCGCTGCCACCCCACAACCAACCACTCAGTCTGGCTCCCAAGTCTCCCTACTCTTGCCCCAAGAAGCAGAGCCCCCCTGCGTATTTGACCAGCGGCCCTGAACCTCACCAGATCCAACAAGAAGTCTTTTCTCACTAAGACGTTGCAGCTCTTTCAAAGTGACCCACAGCTCTTTACAGAAAGGAGGGACTCCAGCAGCAATGCTTTCCTCACTTCTCCACTACTGCTGCCACCGCCGTGGTGTGCTACAACCGCTGCACATGTACTACGTACCAGCAGACAAGCACTTGGAAAAGCTCGGCGCTCCAGCCCAGGGTTCGGAGGAAACGCTCCTCTGTCCCAGGGCTCCCAAACAAAGCAACCCGGCAGGCACTGCTGGACAAGGTCTCGCCCGTCAAACTAGGGACCCTGAAGAATCACAGGGTCACAGAGGAGAGTGTGCAAACGTCAAAGACTGAAACAGCTTCTGTGCCCAAACATCTGGTGCATGTGTGCATCTACCACCTCCTGCACCCCAAGACCTGTACCTCAGAACCACCCCACTGATCTCCAGAGATGCCAGCGACAAAAGTACCAGGTATCACTTCTGGCAGCAGCAGGAGCTGAAACTGCTCGAGAGCACAGGCCCCTCCTCTGCCTTCCTGATGACATCAGGGAAGCCCAAGCCTTGCACCCGGACTTCCTCAGCCTGGACCTGGACGTACGGAGTCACCCTTCCCAGCCCTCACCTGCAGGGAGGAGGGGCCTGCCGCTCATGGCACCGCAGCCCTCGGAAGAACTACAACCACAAGAAGGGGAAGCCCTGCATAAACTCCCAACAAGAAGGGCCCCAGGGCAGTGCAGCGCCTCCAAAGCCGAGCAGGGGCAGCAGCGGAGGGACCCTTCCAAGAACCCCTGCAGGAGCAACACAGAAGCAGACTCGGGCAGCCAGCCGGTACTGAGAGTAGCCAGGCAGCCAGCTGCTTGCTGGCTCACAGGGCACCCAGCACCTGGGCAGAGGCTGCCCCTCGGCCTGCTGCCGCAGCTGCGGGCCCTGCGAGGCAGGCGGCCTGGGCACAGCCCCAGAACACAGCCCAGAACTTCCTGGAACGGTGACGGCCGTTCGGACCCGCCCTCCCTTCCCGCCCGGCGCGTCCACTCACCTGGGGGCAGCTGGAAGTTCTGGATGTTGGTCGGGTTCTGCGGCGGCTGCGGCAGGCGGGGGGCTAGCACGGTGGGCGTCAGGGTGGCCCGGATCCCGCCGGTCGTGGCCGTGGGCGTCCTGGGCAGGCTGGGGGTCGCAGCG